TTGCGAAGTCGGTTGTTCTCGGGCAAAAGACCCTTGGACTCCATCCAGTCGGAAACAGCCTTGATTTCGTCCTTCATAATGTGCGAAGATTCGGGGTAGTAAGTAGTCATGTGCCCGTCGTCGGGATAGCCAAGGTGCATCATGGCGGGGTTACTAGAGCTAAAGATGCCTCCCTTTGTCGCCTCGTAAAACTTGTTGGCCTCGGGTGAGGTGGAAGCGAGAGCAGCCACGGTCTTCTCCGAGCACCGGGGAATGAACTTGGAGTCGCCGAAGCTCTTGTAGTTGCCATTGTTGCCAAGGAACATAGCAGCGTACTCGAGGAACCGGGCAAGCTCATCTTCTTCGACGCCAGCCTTCTTTGCTAGGGCAGTCCAATCGCCGTTGGCAGACTTATGGAGAGTCAAGATCAAGTCAAATATTGGCTCAGACTCAGGGGAGATCTGTCGAAGGACAATTCTGGTACCAGCAAAAGCAGCTCTATAATTGTGTGTCAACATAAGCCACACGACCCCTCCCTCAAAAGCATTGTTGCCCCTCATTGCAATCTGATCGAGCTTCACAACTTATACACAGTCGGTAATAAAAACTTACTTGCTGATAAAGTGAGCGTAACGCTTCTGCTTGTCATTCAGGGCATCAAAGTGCTTCTCAATCTCGAGCCTAACCACCGAGGGGGGCTTGTCGGCGAGGTAGTGGACCAGCTCGTTTGAATTCATGACGGTGGCAGAGGTTGAAAACTTGTGGAGGCTCTGGTGGTTGAAAGACTTCGTAAAGCGAGGAATGGGTCGTCGCGTCAGGATAGTTGACTTCAAGGCCGTAGTTCTTAGTGAAGGTAGTCTCTGAAGCATGAGAGACGGTGAGATTAAGTTGGGAGAAGGCATGCCCGTGGCTGTGACTGACGTTTTCAGGTCACGTCGGCCAATGAATCTTTGTTAATCTGGGGACAAACGCAGCTTCCTAAACGTGTCAAGGCGGCAAGCAGAAGGGCCAGAGCTTATTGCCTATAGCAGCTAGTAAGGCGGTGCACAAAGCCCCATCGTAAAAGCCAATGAGGGCTCTGCGACGAATTGAATATTTTTGTTTCATGATGTTAGATAAATTTGAAGGCATACAGTTGAAATGGCCATACCACTGAGATACGAAGTGTTGATGTTATTGGACGGCTCTACACAGCAGTTGTGCCAATGCCGCCACTCTGTTGCCAATACGTTGTATTCCCCGGTGGCATTTCAACATTGGATTGGCTCTTCTGTCACACGTGCTGAAGCCTCAAGATAACCTCGTCATATATGAACATCGTGTATTGATGAGCCGGAATGGTAAAATCAGTAACAGCTCGTGTTTGGCACATTGTCGTCTATGGTTGCTATGCTGAATATTGGGGTCCATCCACGAATAGGTTGGTACCAGCCAGAAACCGTGAAATGTGCTGAGGCCTAGGGTAAGCACTTATTGATCCGTTCAATGAACTCACATCACAACTATTTTCCTGTTTTGCGACGTGCTGGTAAGTATGAAGCCTAGCCTTTCTTACATTGATATATTTGAAGTTGAAAGGCATTGTTCTCATTACGTAGTGCTTTTCGGGATGTGGACGCTGGTCACTTCTTTCGACTACACATGATAATTAGTTCGCCTCAAACGAAGCAGGATAGTTGCCGACATATCCTAGGAAAGATGAAGCGAACCGAACCGAAGTGTCAAACCGAGGAGTTCTTCAGTTCTACCACCCTGGGGACCACAGACCGGCAGGTACTAGAACCCTACTTGTGATTTTATGCAGAATACCTCTCGGATATGCAATGCCATGAAAGGCTTCATTAACATTAGATCTGAGGACACAATGCTTTCCGAAACTCGAATCAAATGCATACCATCCTGGTAGCAATAAACGTTGGCGAGGCAGGACAAATCCTCATTTAGCAAAAAACCACTCCACTGCCTATTTATCACGTCTGGTCCAACTATTGCAGAGATACGGATGGGAGGACCAACACGGTTGCGCATGCACTAATGAATGTCCCGACTTGCAAGGTCAACAAATCCGGGGTGCTTCCCATCGGGCGAGCTGCCCCATGCTGATCAACTAACTCTATCAATACATCCAAGAAAGGGCCAATAAAATATCATGTGCCAGCAAACAGTTGCACAACACCAAAACTATGAGGATTTATTAAGCATTCAGCTATTTTAAGCGGTGTGGCGTTACAGGGTCGCAACTCGGTAGAGGATTGAGATGTGAAGCTAGGCCAAGCCTCATCCTGCAAGCAAGCGTTAGTACGATCAACTACATCAGCCGGCGTTGTCAACCGAGCCAACCCTTCGGAATCTAGCAAACCAGCTGGGCGGGACACCAGGGTTGGGGTGACATGGATGACTTGTCTTAGACAATTGTAACTGCAGCCGGGGAAGCCTTTGTGGTTCCCCCGAATTGGACGATGCTAATGTGATTCCTGGAGCAAACAACTGATGTGTGACTGATTGCCAATGTTAGCCGGCAGAAATGGGGAAGGATTTACCATGTCGAGTTCCCATTCGTGGTATGTACAGATCTGCTGATCGATGAAGGCATTCGCATATACTCTCTGTCTTGCTCATTTGGCGATGCGAACTCTTTATGCTGAGTATAGCATTCCAATACTCGATCGGAAGAACGTTTCGTATTTTGTCATTTTGTTCGTGACCGAATAATAAAATTGCCAGCTGGAAGATTCTGGCTGCAGTGGTCAAGGCTCTGTGCTTTGAGTCGTCGTTCACCAGCTGACCTTCTACCCCCACGCTATTACTCCACACTCAACGCTACTAGCGTTTCTCTCCTTGTGCCTTTTCCGTTCCCCTTTGCCCTGCTCTGTTTTGGGTAAATCTCTCCCGAGCCGTGACTTGTGATTGGATCAAGAGTCAAGGTCTTGAAAAGTGATACTCAGCCGAAAGAAAGCAAAGCTGTGCATGGACTCCTACGTAGTTGGAAGAAAAGCTATGTATCGGGTTTGGTTTGGATATTGAAATTTAACTCGAGGGACCTGTTCGGGCGGCTGGTGGGTGAGTTGAGCAACTAGGTACCTAGATATCCATCAATAAATACCTGTAAAGCTGGGGTGTCTAAAACCAGCATTTATGGGTAGCATGAGTGACGACCGCACACTCAGTTTAGTGACCTCGGTCAAATATGTTTGGAATAATAGGGGCCGTTAGGTCACTCATAAACCACACCAAATGTGAGAACACTCCTGGCTTTGAACCAGAGTACCAAAATCAAAGGGTCCATCTATTGGCGTACTGAACTATTCTGAACTTATCTACGTCTTTTTGTCGTTGAGGATGAAGGTCTCAGGTTTTCTCGCCTCCCCCAGACCACTCAGGAAGAGGGCATGGAAAGTATGATACAGTGGGAATGTTGAGAATGAGGCTCTCAACGGGCGAGTGCTATCAATGAACAATGACATGGGAGGGTGTCCAATTTTCCGGTCGGGAATTTCGGACCAGCACATCGGTACGCCCGATCATCAATCAAGTTTTAAACCCTTCCCTTATATCTGCCACTGGAATCTGCTTACAAGATTTACCATGAGTCCCTTTGCCCAGTTTGGCTCATGTCAGCCGGATAAGTGCTTGAGACTGATCCTCAGCAACACTCGACTTTTGCCGGATTAATCAGCTTTTCCAGCGTTATTATCGGATTCGAAAGGGACAGAGCCAGACAAATAGAATCCACGACATAGATGATATAGACCAACTAAGTGACGTTGCATGCTGTTGTATCGCTGGTCGTGCGAGCTGGCACACGTTCGGTTCGGCGGCCAGAGTTTCCAGAATTACCCAACTGCGGAAACTCCGCGCAAGGATTTTTTCCCCGGGGGAGCGTGATAGATTCGCCCCTGTTCTGCTATTCAAGCTTCTATCAAGGCAATGCAAAGCTGATGATTTGCACTTTATGTACCTAGATATCGTTGCATAGCGCCAAGCGAGATACACAATTTAACTAGATGAGAATTCGCTGGAGCTGTGATTTTGTGTGTGTAAACGGAACTGGAACGTGCAGTGGGCTCGTGACCTCACAAGCCATGCACATATGAACGGGAGAGTGACAGGGACTGGTTCTGGGTAGTCTGGGTAATGCCAGTTGGATGGAATTTGGGGTTCAAGGAACCATCATCATGTCCCACAGGGAGCGTCATGGGCCAGATCCTCACCAATCTTTTTCCCTTTCCCCTGATAGTCTCAGATTGAACGACATTGCCAGTCCATCTCGAAATCATGCTCCACCGTAATATATCCATCCACTGCCATGCTGTCTCTCCAACACACAGTTAAGTAGATACATAGTAGCACAAATGGTTGAGATCCATTGTAACTGGACAGCCTAAGGTAGGTAGTCAAGAGAGAAAGATACCTGGTACAGTAGATTCTGATGACCTTTTTCCGTCCTCAACCAATTGGTCCAGGGCCCTAGTCACCCCCAGACGGCATGCCCTCCTGGCACCGGGCTCCAAAGCCTGGCCTGGGTTGTGGAGATGGGTCCCTTCCAGCGGGTGACAGTCACCCCCGGGCCCATTTCACTACACCCTGCCCCCACGCCACCTGTGGAAGCAAATGTAGGTCGGGCTGTGCGAAATAGTGGATGTTGGAAGTTTCGTGCCTACCCCGGGCTTCTCTCCGTGCCCTTTTCCTTGAGCCTGAATTAGGGACATCAGCTATGACTTGTACCGTCATCAACCTTATATAGATCCCTCTGGCCCCCGGGTCCTCTGTCAATCTGCTCTACTGATTTGCAATTCTTGGCTTTTTCCTATTTGCATCTTGATTTACTCAACCGATTCATAGACATTGACCGTCCTCGTTACTACGTCATTATCATTGTCATTCCCATTATCCGCTGCCAGTCTCACCTCGACCTTCAGTTATACACCAAGCGACAGGCGTCATTAGGGGCTTTTTTTTAACATCATAAATATTCCTAAAAGATTGGTTTTGTTGGCTCTCTCAATTACTCCAATACGAAAATGCTTTCCTACGAACCCACACCAATGTCAATCAAGACTCCCACAAAACCAACTACCATTACTTTGCCGCCCACCACTTCGTCACCAATGACGGTAGCACCCCCATCCTCCATCAACTCTGCCACCATCAATGGCCACAAAGCCCAGGGACAACAACACATCTGGCTGGTTACGGGCCCTGCCGGCTGTGGAAAGACAACAGTCGCTGGATATTTGGCTCAATCATTAGGCCTGCCCTATATTGAGGGCGATTCGGTATGTAGAACTTTTGCAGAGCGCCCCACGTTATGGAAATGCCCCAGCGTCACCACTAACACGGTTTTCTCATTAGTTCCACCCTCCCGCCAATATTGATAAGATGCGAAATGGCATTCCCCTAACTGATGCCGATCGATGGGATTGGCTCACAGCTTTACGGGAAGAATCCATCAAGAGGCTGAATTCCGGATCCAATGGAGTCGTCCTTACTTGCTCGGCTCTCAAGCGCAAGTATCGCGATGTCATCCGCGTTGCTGGATACTACGATCACCGCATTCAGATCCACTTCGTTTTCCTCGACGCTTCCGAGGAGCTTCTTCTCGCCCGTGTCGCCCAACGACAAAACCATTACATGGGTGCCAACATGGTCCACAGCCAATTCGAGACCCTTGAGCGACCTTTGGCCGATGAAAAGGATGTTATCACCATCGACGTCAGCCGGCCCATAGAAGAGGTGGAGCGGGAAGCGCTCAGCAACGTGCTGGAAACAATCACCAAATCTCAAGACAAGCCATGAGCGCCAGGCAGCTTTAAGAAAACAATGATTTGTACGCTTTATATCATTTGGTACATATTTACCGGCTTCATCATACACTGCCGACCCGCCATACACAGTCATTTTGGACAATTTCAGGCGAGGCCTTATTATCAGGCAGGGAGTCACAGCGTCATGGTTATATATGCATTCGGGATTTTGGAGTTCAAGATTTAAAAGGCGTTTGGAACCAAGAGTCTTGTCATTGCCCAGTACCTATGCACTCGGACAGCTCTCCGATGAGGCGCGACCAGGGAACAGGAGACTAGCTAGCTTGGTGCAGTCCCCCGCAAAGTGTCAGAGTTGCAGTCATTGTACCGCATGAGCACGACTGGGGCTGGCTGCTTGCTTACACGGATAGGCTAAAAAGAAGGGAAGGGGAGGAAAGGTACTCCCTCATCCCCAGGGTTCCGGGTCTACGCTACGCGCGCATAGGAGCCAAATTTAAGTGAGTTGCGAAGTCAGTTTGGGTCGCTGTATTATCTACTCCATGTTAGAAGATCCATGATCTGCTGATCTGCTTCACTTGTGAAGGCAAATACACACAAATGTTCTTGCACTAAACACACTAGTACTATGCCATGTCTGCCGTCCGTTGCCACGAGCCTATGAGGTGCCCTGTGATTTTGCTCGTGAGGAGACATCTGTCCCGGCGTTAACTTCTAGCTATCCCGATGAACATTAAGTCTCCTGCATCATGACAACTCAATACATGAACACGGCTCAGCTCGCCTGATTGAAAATGCCTCTGACCGACAAGCGAGCGAGTGATAGCTCATACAAATACTTGGAATGTAATTGGAAGCTTCGGGTCGGTGTGTTGTCATCATGCACGGTAAAACCCATTCGGCATCTTTGGGCCTGAGCGATTTGCATCACGAGGTTATCAATGCAACGGAATCAGGGTTCTATAGCTTGGGCCAACATCATCGCTCTTCATGCAGATTCAGATTGTCTGGATTCTCCGGCCACTCACTCCCTTCGCCTCGCCATCAACAAAAATGAGACCTCAAGATTTAGCCAAACCGGGATTCATTGCCGAGGGACAATGCAATATCACGGCTCAGCAGCGTCTCACCAGCTTTCTATAACCCCTTTCGTGTTCGGAATTTATGAAATTTTGGTGATCTAGATTATATACATTAACGCCCCTCTTATCTATTTCAGATGCATTACCATAAGATCCGGCTCTTCCACTATTTGTCTTACTACCTCAGCGGCTCGCGCCATGGTAGCGCCATCAATAACTCGGTGATCAGCACTCCAGCTGAAGTTGGTGACCTGCTTCTTGACCACATTGTCGTTCTCGTCAAACGCAGGTACTGTGCGCATGCGTCCAATGCCCAGAATGGCCACTTCGCGTTCCACAATGACAGGACTGACGTATGTACCACCCACGTTTCCAATATTGGACACTGTAATGGTGCCCCCTTGGAAATCAGCTGGCTTAAGCTTACCCTGGCTGGCCAATGCCTGAAGCCGTGAGAGCTCTGCCGCAATGGATATGATGTTGAGAGAATCGACGTTCTTGATTACGGGCACGACAAGCCCTCCGGTGGTGTCCATCGCGATACCAATGTTGTGTTGTGATCGATGGACGAGGCATGGCTTGTTAGTCTTGGGGTCAACATCCACCCGGGCATTGAGCATTGGGTACTGGTTCAACGCTAACGAGACAGCCTTGATTATAAAGGGTAGATATGATAGTTTGGTAGGTTGTCCCTCGACTGTAGGGCCCTTGGCGATAACACGGTTCAGTCGCTTCCGAAGCTCCACGAGACTCGAGAAGTCAACCTCGTCCGCGTAGAGAAAGTGTGGGATAGTCAAGGACCTTGTCATAGTCTTGAACATCTGAAGTTGTGTGTTGGAAAGAGGCACAACTGTTTCGGCTTGTACCGAGGTGTCGTGTGGCTTGGAAGACGCAGCAGTTGGAGATACTTGCTGGGCACTTTCCTTGGCATCTCTCTCCTTGATAAATCTATAGATATCTTCCTTGAGAACCCTGCCGTCTCTTCCAGTGCCATCAACATCTGCGATATTCACATTGAGCTCCTTGGAAAGATGTCGCACAGCTGGAGTAGCGATGCTGGCGCATTTGCCCTTCTCCTTGACTGGTGTCTGGACAGGCGCTTCTAGATTCGCTTGCTGCTCTGTCCCGGCCTGAGTCTCTGTAGTAGGTGGTGGTGGTGGTGGAGGTACATCCTCTTTGTCGGCTTGTTGATTTGATAGTGCGTCAACGTCCTCGGCCTTTGCCTCGCCTTCAATATCGATGTCGACAAAGGGTTTGCCGACTTTGGCCATTTCGCCGGCTTCGTAGTGCAGCTTCTTGACCACGCCTGAGAAGCGGCTTGTAATCTCAACAGATGCCTTGTCACTTTGGACTTCGCATAGCGGAGAGAACTCTTCGACGCGGGCACCGGGTTCCACGAACCATTGAATGACTTCACATTCGACGATACCTGGCTTGTGTTAGTCAGACCGGATGACATGGGATAATTCGCGTTCGCCAGGCTTACCTTCGCCAATGTCAGCTAAAACAACAGGTTTGACAGCCATCAATCTTCTGGATTCACTGAACCATCTTTGAGTCTTGACCATCATAGGAGCTCGAGAGCCCACTGCCAAGCTGCCCATGCCTCTGGCAACATGCCATTGCTTCTGTAGCACACGAGATCCTCTCTGAAGAAACATGATTGCTAGCAATCGGGCCTGTAAGGAGAAAAAGAATGTTCAGAGATTGTCAATAGAAGAGCCCGAGTCATCCTCATAAGAGAGAGGAGATGGTAAATATCCATGGGCAGGTTAAGCCGAAGGGCTGGCTTCCATCGGCCCCGTCCGTGGATAACCGCCAATCCGGGGGAATGACGGCACTGACGAATACTAAGCCCGATCGAACCGCATCTTCGGCTCTATCTCAACCCCCACACTGCCGATACAATGGCCCTGCGCTCCACTTCTCCCGTCAAACGTGGGGACTCTAGGGGAGGAAAGAAAACTCAGGACCTTAGCCCTAGGCGCTAAAAATACTCAGGTAAATCTAGCCAAAGCTTAGGGGACTCCTTGCCAAGCTTATTTTGACACCCTGTAATAAGGTCCGGTGTTTTCTTGCCCCCTGGGAGACCCTATGGAAACTCAAGTGAATTTTCCAACGTCGGGTCTCAGGTTTGGAGAGCCGCAAAGTCCGTCCCTCCCGTCCCCTCCCCTGCCAGCCATGATGGCATCACGACGACTCGAGTTGAGCCTCTCCAGCCTCGCTCGCCGACCTCTAACTTGTTTCCTTTGCGAGGCTCGTCGCCCGTTCACCACTTCGACCATCCGACTAGCGAGGACTGAGAAGCCCGGATCTGGCGCATCGTTAAATCCTCAAGAAAATGTTGCTAAGCCAATTGAGGCTCCGCGAAGTTACGGAAAGCGACAAGAAGGACACTTCGTACCGAAACCCCTTCCTCGTCCGATCGGAATGCCCCTACCGCCTAAAGCTGGAGAGAACACTGGAATTGATAATCGATCGCTACGACAGCGACGTGAGGATTTTGTTAATTATGACAAGCACTTGCAACGGCGCAAGGAGCTGTAAGAGCATTATGGCTGGCTGGCAACACACACACGCACACACTGACGCTTCTTTGTACACAGAACTGCAAAGATTTCACGGCCGTACTTTCGAGATTGGGGCAACCTTCAATACCATGAGGGTAAATCCTTCATCGCACCTCCACGCCTATTCAAGGCCGAGCTGTCACTATTCTTCCCCAACTTTTACGGCGAAACTCTATTGAAGACGGATAAAAACCCACGCGATACTACGCCACTCCTTACTGGCAAGGCAACAGTCGTCTCTTTCTTCAGCAGCCGCTGGGCTGAGCAGCAAGCTGCGACTTTCACATCTAAGGAGGGAAACCCTGGGCTTCATGAAGTGTTAAATAAGCACCCGGGCACGACACAGATTGTGAACATCAACTATGAAGACAATGCCGGCAAGGCATGGCTGGTGCGTTTCTTTCTGGGTTCATTGCGAAAGCAGTTCCCAGAGAAGGATTGGGACAAATACTTCCTTGTCCGACGAGGCGTTACCGACGACATTCGCGAATCCATCGGTCTACTCAACAGCAAGGTCGGATACGTCTTCCTTGTCGATCAGTATTGCCGGGTTCGATGGGCGGGCAGCGGAACTGCTCATCCCGTTGAAGCAGAAGGTTTGGCAAAGGGTCTCTCACGTATAGTTGATGAAATGAGGAATGAAGCATCCTTGCCCGCCACTGCAAAGGAGCAACATCCAGGCAAACACCATCTTGAGGTCCCGAAAATGCTGTAATTAGACGCCTTCTAGTAGAGGAAGACGATTGTAACTTTAGACATCCTAGACATCCATGGTCCAACCATGATTGTACAATATCAAACACGCTGATACCCCTGAACACCTGTGCATCATATAAAAGCAAGCTCGTCAGTTTACGAGAAGAGGAAGAAGACAATAAAGCAGAACGCAACAAAGCTTCCCATGATAATCCCGTCCCTCCTCTTCTTTGCTGATATCCTTCCGATCAGCGTATTGATCCCAGGTACTTGGCTTGCCGCGTGCGTAATCCTCCGATTGATACTCGCCAAGGTTTCACGCTGCAGATTAAAGTTGTCATTGACTGCGTACGCTTGGCTGAGGACACTGTCCGCCATATTGTTGCTGTTATCGATGCGATTACGCTCTTCTAGCATGTAATCAGCCTCGGCAGCTTCAGGGTTGTTCTGGCGGTATTCATCGATATCCGAGCGGACATTGGTCAGAAGGTTGGCCCGATCGCGGGCTTGTTGTAGTGTTGAACGCAGGCGCGCCAGATCTCTTTGATGGCCAGTAAGCTTCTTCCGAAGGAGGGACAGGTTGTTCTGTTTTGAGGCGGAGGATGCGAGATTGGGTTCGGAATCGAGAAGTCGAGTGAGCTGGCCGTTGACTGTTTCGCGCTGATGCGATGTTAGGATGTGGTATAGCAGCCTGCCAGCAAATTGTATCAGCGCATACCTTCTCTAGCAATTCTTCCAACTTTCTTTCTGTTTCGCGCTCTTCTTCCGTGGGCTTTGGTGGTACGTTAGAGGCTGTCGAGAACTGTGAATATGTGTGGAACAAGGTCTCCGTCTAAGTTACGACGACGTCAGCTAATAGTCTGGCGCATGGTATAGTTTGATGTACCTGGGTCTCCAACTGTCGAGCTTGTTGTCGAAGCTGGGCCCATCCGGCGACTCCATTCGCTGTCGACATTTTGTCTATTAGAATTCTGTCTTCTTGACAATATGGTGATGTATTCGTATGATCCTCAAACTGTCCTAGCCTTCCACCTCACCCATCAACTAACTCCCTGACGACCCTTGTCCGAGGAATGGCAGAATTGGACACCGCCTTGCGCTGCACTTTGTCCACGTGACTATGCACGTGACTATGCACGTGCTTTCCAGAAATCAAAATTCTTTGTGCAGGAGGCTGCCCCACTCCTGCCTCAAAGCCCTAAATTTCTTACCTGCGCACGGCAACGATATCGCGACACTCACTGAAAGCTTGAGGCAGATATTTTCGCAACACCTCGTCGACACCACTTCGCATATCACTTCGAAGCTATTCAAGATGGTGAGTACGAATAATCCTCGCCCTATATCACGGTAGTTGTCGGCTTGTTTTGTCGCCGTCTCGTGCGGCTGTCAGACCATTCGAACTATTTCATCGACCAGAACACACAAACACATTCTCGATCGTTTTTCCACTCTCGAACCCCGGCCTTTGTTTCGATATGGCAACACACACAAAACATGAATATGGGAAGGACAAATCGCTGACAGGTTGTAGTCGTCGGGCAAGGTCAAGGCTGGTGCGCTCTGGGGCAAGAACAAGGATGATTTGACAAAGCAGCTCGCTGAGCTCAAGACCGAGCTTGGTCAACTCCGCATCCAGAAGGTCGCCTCTTCTGGCTCCAAGCTGAACAGGATGTGAGCATTCCTCTCTCTGCAACACCGGTGTTGGAGGAGATTGTAAAATCAGTAGCGACGTATGGCTAACACGTTTCAAACAGCCATGACATCCGCAAGTCGATCGCCCGTGTCCTGACCGTTATCAACGCCAAGCAAAGGGCTCAGCTTCGACTCTTCTATAAGAACAAGAAGTACGCCCCTCTCGACCTCCGACCCAAGCAGACTCGTGCCATCCGCCGCCGACTATCGCCCGAGGAGAAGTCCCGCGTCCTCGAGAAGACCAAGAAGCGCACTGTTCACTTCCCTCAGCGCAAGTTCGCCATCAAGGTACGATGACTCGACGCCTTTGGAGGATTGAGACCTCCATGTATGGCAAAACTCTTGTTCCGAGAACCAAACACTGACGAAAATAATGCAGGCTTAAGTTAAAATGCTTGTAGTTATTGGCGTGGCAAGGACAACGGGTAGAAAGGAAACGGGGTATGGAGGGCGTGGCGTGCTTTTTCTTTGAACTAAAGGCTTCGAAATTTGCATCGCATGGCTCAGGGAATCTCGGTCTGACTTGTACTTATTTCCCGGCTTGGGGCCTCGATTCGGGACGGCATGTCCACAATGGACTGCCTGGACAGGCAGTCTTTAAAAAACAAAAATGAGGTCATGATTAAGAAGTTCTGAGAGCGTCCTTGTGATAGTTGTGACAAGATGGTTGCGTCCATGTGGGAAGATGTCATATGCCTCGGACAATCAAAGCCTTGTTGCTCTGGCAAGAATCTGAAAGATTTACAATTCACCATATTCTCCGGAGACTATACTCCAGATTTTGCGTTAGTTTATGTTGATTCGTCAATTCGATCCAAACTGGCCTGGATCTCTCGGACCTATACTGATTAAATTCTTTTGTACGGGTCGGCCACATTCGGTTGGTCTTTGAGGCGCCTCGGATCGTTCCAACCCGCGTCACCCCACCATAACCCCAACGACATCTTTCAATCAACGAGTAAAGACAATATAGAGGAATCCCAGCCTTTTACTTTTTACCTCATTCATTCATCTTCACCAAACCAGAAACACCTGTTGGCCGTGTTGCCTCACTGATCTCATATATGAGTCACTGAAATTGCTTTTCGTAATTGGGCCTCTCGAGTGTATCAAATGCATCGGCGTTTAAAAGAGGACCCCGCAAAGGCTTGATCCGATGAAGAATCGAATTCGGAGAGGACCACAGATTGACCAATATATGGTGCATCGCTCATGTGTCAATGGAATAAAGGGGGGGTCTCAAAGATAGGTATCCGACTGTTCTCAAGTGCTGAGCTGGTTGTACAGCTCTCCGAGATTCTCGCCTTCAGCCAGTGCTTTCAATGGACAGTATGCGGGACGAATGAACAAACGATCGGGAGGGCGACAATGAATATTCAAATACCTCCCTCCCGGCCTCCCCCCATTGCCAAAACGATATCATTACACAACATCGGACACAGTATGCATCAATTGGAAACTACCAGTACCTGTCGCGCTCGGCCGAACATTCTGGATCATGGTCAATCAAATCGAGGGCTTGATATTTTTGGTGTTCATTATGGAATCGGGTATCTATCTACCTTTATCTGAGTCTTCCGCTCGCTTCGTAAATATCGTGTGGCACGTTTGGAGCACCATGGTCCAGAAACGCCAGTTTTCATCGCAAATTTCAAACCGCCTTAATTACGAAAACCTTCAACGCCAGTACCGATCTCAAAATCCCAAAACGACAGCACCTTTCCTTTTCTTCTTCTTTCAAATGAGATGTCCTCAACTCTGGGAAATTTCAGAGCTGCATCTCATGAGCTTTTGCTAGTCTTGCGGCCGCCATCTTGCATATGTGTCTGCAGATGCCGACGAAGTTGATCCAGCCGATGAAAGTCTTTGCCGCAGTGCTCACAAACGTGGTTACCACGAACATTGTGCGTGCGACGGTGCTTGGATAGATTGGAAGATTCACCGAACCGCTTCCCACAAATTTCGCACTGCAAAGGCTTCTCTCCTGTATGCGTGCGCATATGCATGGCTAAAGAGCAGGTTAGCATTTGGTATTGAGTCAGGAGTCGACATATTTACTAAGAGCACTCTGCTGCTTGAAACGCGCCTCACACCCCGGTTGTATGCACTTCCATGGTTTCTCTCCCGAGTGAGTACGCATGTGCTGCTCCAGGGATTGCTTTGCTGAAAGCATTACGCCGCAAATCTCGCATTTGACTGGTTTGTCTGTCAGACAAATTAGTACGTTCTACAACATGGAACCTGATATTTAATCATATGGTACAACTCACATCCGGTATGCGTCTGCATATGTCGTTCCAGTTTGCTCTTTTGCGAGAATGGACCGGGTCTTATACAAGCGTACCATGTGCAGCAAAACCCATTTTCACCTTTCTGCAGAGTCTTGACATGCTCATTCTTGCAGTGGTCCTGGAGTTCTTTATTACTTCCGAACCGTTTGGAACAGAGGACACCATCTCCCTCACATAGCCATTGGCAGGTGAAATCGGCTTCTCCTTTTATGGCTTGCTTCTCCGCCAACTCGGTTTTCGGTGTGGGGGATTGTGAAGGCATAGAAAAGGTGCCATTGCGGGCCAGCCCTGGGCCACTGGGACGGCTCGCAAGATTCCCGACGTGTTGGTTGAGATCGTCAGTAAAACTATGTCCGATTTCATGAGAGAAATCGCCAAAGTCATGACCGATCGCGGAGTCAATATCCAGAGGAACACCCTGGCCTGGTTCGACTGGGCTCATTAGGGTATTGACCACGGGTTCAGGCTCTGCCGAGGGTGTTGTAACAGACACAGATGCCGGAGTGGTGGAAACGGTGGTGCTCACGCAATGCGAATCGTTGCAGGGGATTGCGGCCTCCTGACAAGAGGCGTCAAGGCATGGCTCAAGGGCAGCACAAGTGGGTTCGAAGCAACAAGCAGCATGGGAGAAGTCAAACTCGTCACAAGAAGCATCGAAGCAACAGTCCGCATGATCTCCATCGCCACACTGACTCCAACATTTGGCGTCGCCGCACGCAGAAGTGCAGTCAACAGAGGTGGCGTTATTGCATCCCATATGTGGTGTCCACGACATCGGCATGCAATGAGCGACGTCGGCCTGTCCCATCATGTTGGCCCAGGAGGGAGCAACGGCTTGTGGCCAGCGATCATAGAGACTGGGCATTGAAAACGCATGGTTATGGTGTTGGAATTCTCCAAACGATGTATGTTGACTGTCTAACAGTGGCATATTGAAGTTGTGCTGCAAATTCTCGTTGACGGTCTGAAGAACGGCTGTGGGGTCGATATGCTGGAGATTCTGATCTTGTTGAATGCTATGAGGAGAGTGCATTTGATGCACATGTGACGACAGCTGGTATTCCGGTTGGTTATGATATTGATGCGTCTGCTCAGACTGTCTCCTTCGCTTTTGTCGGTGCGCTGAGACTCTCATTGCCGCAGTGGACAATGTTCTTGCAGGAGAACTGGATATGCTTGATTGGGTACGGCTTTTTGCCCTCGTGGAACGGGCGTTGTTGGCCTGGTCATGACGCTGGGAGACCGTATCAGTACCGTTCTTAAGATCGAGGCCGATGTCAAGAGCGTTCTTGGTGGCAGCAGTTTTACCATAGTGGTCAAAACAGCGTTGGTCGAGACAAGCGTTCTCAGTGTTGTTGCAGGTACCGAGAGAATCGAGACCATGTGTCAGGCAGGTATCGTGACCGAGCAAACTGTCAAAGCCATAGTCGACTTTTTCGGATTCGAAAGAAGTTGGCTGGTTTTGCTGCTGGTGATGATGAATGAAAGGCGCTGAGTGGTCCATGATTGCATATATGGAATCACAGCAGCAATCGCTCGGTTTGATAACGGCGATTGCTTCTCTCTTCTTTTATCCTTTCGCGCGCGGATGTTTTTGAGTTAATTTTATGGTTGAGTTGCTCATCGACGGCATTAGTAGGATAATGCGAAGGCCTGGGAGGCTCTAGTGGGATGTTGCGAACGGCCCAAGAGAATCGATGAGTGAGAACCCGGATGGCCAGCGGCTCAAAGGGTTGAAGGTGGAGGGGCAGGGTATGACACTAAGGCACTTTGTGAACTCCAGTGGATCATGGTGCGTTTAAGTGGGACCAGCTTCCTGGAACGATTATGCTCGGCCAATGAGGGTGGAGGGATTGGGAGAGTAAGACAAGAGCAATCTACTAATGGTTGCTGAGTACCTACCAGGTCGCAAAGGCAGTAGGCATTCGTTCGCTTCTATCTTTCCTGAGCTAACGAATATTTCTAAACACTAAGAAAGTATCAGTGTAGCTGAGGGGATATGTTAGCAAGCGAAAGGCTGACGATTTCTTCCAACCCTACTTTATCCGTAGATAGCCAGTCCTGTTAGCAGGAAGACAAGTCTCCAAAGTTGAGCTGGTGAAATGCGTGGGTTTGAGGACAAGGAATACCAACCTCGGTCAGTATTTATCCTTTATTTGTTAAAGATCCATAGCCGAACTGGTCCAATGCCTCAAAGTCGAGTCAATCACTGCATCTTCCGCGTGGAGTTCATGTCCCTTGATCGCCTGCATGCATGGATATGGCCAATGACTATGATATACCGATTTCTGCATCGATGCAATATCGTAGGTTCTGTACAGTACTTTATGTGCAGTTAATCCACTTCATTGCTCCAGCATGTTTCTCGGTAACCTTTCCGACTAGAGCACTGACGATATGGCCCATACAACTGGCTCAGTGACTTGCAGCGGATGATATCCCTGGATGGCTGGGCTCTAGTCTTGCCTTTGTTGCTACGCCTCTCTTGCAGTTGGTTTGTTGACTGTTGTGGCCATTGTGACCATTTGTTTCGATTCCTTAGTCGGCTTGTGTTCAGGCACGTCTATGCTCATTGACATAGTCATACCCAAGCCATACGATTTTTCACCAATAATTAGTAGCTATATTGGGAATAAAGACTGTATATTTATACTGACTAGCATAGTACCACATGAGCCGCATGTGTTGATTGAAAAGAAAGTTGTAGTGACAAACTCAAGTTTTCAGGACAGTTACCCTATGCTTGTCTATTTTGTTCTATTATCTGCCATATATACCACCTTATCTATTGATAACGACACCGGCCACTGAGACATACGTTGGAATTTACAGACTGAACATGATATAAAACTTGTTGAGGCTGGTGCAAATTGGCCGGCGTCTACATTGCACTGTATGTGTAGGCTTTAAATTGATATACGTAGTGGGTAGCCACTTGAGAATTTGAGATACAATCATATATGGGTGTAGTTGACACCCATATGTAGTGCCTACCTAGGTAGGCTGCGAGCAACTACAGAACTTGCCTTTTCGAATGACCGATTCCATATGTTCGTAGGGACCTCCGTCTACTCTTCCCGGTAACGCAACTCCCCGCTCCGGGTGCGGCAGACATAGACCCACTTGACTCCGTAATGCTCTCCGTCACTCAAACTTAGGTATGAAGACCTTAGACAGAGATATACTGATACAAACCACTTGAAACCCAATGTGATAACCATAATTATCTGCCAAAAACATGTAGTCGATGAAATTGAGATAATTGCATTTGCCTGCTGTTGCGACTCGCACTACGCAGCAGGACTAACGGTGCGTAATCCGAGAATAAGCTAAAGACTTATCTTAGGCTATTACATACTGCTTGAGGTGTGGTTCTGAGAGTGTTCCTCTGAGTTCATAGGCCTCAGCTAATGCTTGCATCTCCCGCCTTACCTCGACCTTGCTCACATGCCCCTGAGGCGCAGCGCTCCATCCGTCAACCCATCACGATCATCCTTTGCAAGTTCTTATGACCGCAGAGTTGACTACAAGGAGCAACTGACTCCACCACTTCTGAGTGAGCGTCACCAGATATCTTTATACACTGAAATTTACCGATACTCGATTGGGGGTATTGCAAACAAAGCTTAACGCTTCCTCCCCTGTTTCCTTATATGGAAACCCCTCCTGACCTCGGATCTTGGCATAAAGAAACTCCAGCCTCACGTCTCTCGCTGAGACACAACGCTCTAATTCAATTCATCAAACTTCAATCTGGCAATCTCAGCACACGGCTAGTCTTTTCTTTGCCTTGCCCACTGTGTTATAGCCCAACAGAAAACAGGAAACATTAAATCCACCGCACCACACCATCGGCAATCATGGGCAACATCTGCGGAAAGACAGAGCCAGAGGCTTTTTCGCAACCCGGCAGAGTCTTGGGTTCCGCTCCCGCTCCAGCCGCTGGCACAGCGCCGGTTCCAAAAAAGGTCGGAGGCCCGCCAAGGACTTTGGGAAGCGGCTCAGCTGCGGAAGCTTCAGGAGATACGGATGACGCTCGGAGGAAAGCCGCGGAGGCTGCAGAGGTGAGATCGCCCCCTGCCGCGTGACTGTCATGATGTTATTCTTGTGATCTTGACTGACGGGGCATTGCAGGCGCGCGCAAAAGCATCCTCAAAGCCAGGTGGGAAGTTGCAGACCCAACTAGCAGCACAGAAGAAACAGACACGTTCAGAAACCCTCAATGACGCTAGTCAAGAGCAACTGCGAGCGCGTGAGGCCGATCAAGCAGCTGAAGCACGAAATTGGGCATGATGATTCAGTGTTGACTTCTCAAGAGCATACAGGTCAGAAGATGGCGCAGAGTAGCTGGTTCACGACAATGCGGATTGGAAGGCAGCCTCTACACATTGTGATCATTCAATAGCGTCTAGCAGTTCCAAGATTTTCGTCCATGTTCAGTTGGAATCTTATTTCAGAGTATTCTCCATATTATAGATGTTTTATTTCGATAACGTTACAGTTCAAAAACTCGGTGGACTCAGCGTTAACCAATATTCCCCTAGGGCTTTCCACCGAAGTAGGCATGCGACGCCATGATTAACTCCTATTTGTATACCTTTTCTTCTTCTTCAAACCCCCACGTAGCCTCTGCAACGCCGTCCGTCAGCGAGCCAGCCCATGCAAGTGTAGTGAAGGCAGCGCGCTGACATTCTTCCAGCGAAAGACCTCATATGGCTAGGTAATTGTATATCGTCCACTGGCTGGTGCTCGACTGTCGGCATCTGCAGCAGCTATTGTTCCTTCTCTTAATAGGCGTGTGAGTTCGCTGAGAGCGGATCCAACGACAACCTCCGTATCGCCTTCGATGAGAATATACAGTTTTGGTTCGGCTCCTGCGGGAACCTCTTTGCCTGGTGGGTAAAAGTTGCCCTTTGTTGTGATCGATGTGCCTGTAGCTTCCAGGATCTTGGCGACATTGGTTCGGTTGGTGACAGCCCATCTAGCCTTTTGAGGGAAGTCGTTGATTTCCAATGTGGCATGGAACGCACCAGCGTCTGGGCCCTTGTTGTCGATGGGCTGACCAGCACGAAGTTGGCCAGCCTTTCCGAGGCGGCTGTTGATGGCGGACACGGCTGAACTGACCTTGTCGAGCGGGTCTTTGGACTTATCTTTTACTCCACCAGTAATGGTTGCCTGTTGAGTAGGCTTGACTTCTGCACCATCAGCCTTTGCTAACTCGCGGGCTTGAACGCCTGATGCTGCTGCGCGGATTGCACTGAGAGCCTTCTCTGCCTTGTCGTCCTCCTCTTCCTTCTTATCTTCTTTGACCTCCTCCTCCTCGCCCTCGGCCTTGTGGGTCTTGCGCTCGCGGAGACGGGCAGCCTCTCGTTCCTGATCAAGACGATCGAGACCCTTGCCGCCAAAGCCAGAAGTATCCTTGGCCTTGCCAGATTTGACCTTTTCACGGTGAGCTTTCCTCATCTCGTCCAGCCTTTCTGGCACCGGCTGCCCACTCTGTTCAAGAGCCTTGGCAATGCCAACAGAGCAGTTCTCTTGCTCTGGTGTGACGAATGTGACAGCGACACCAGTATTGCCAGCGCGACCAGTTCGGCCAGCACGATGAACATAATCCTCCAAGTGGTTCGGTGCGTCGTAGTTAATAACGAGCTTGAGTTGCTTGACATCAAGACCACGAGCTGCCACCGAAGTAGCAATCAAGATAGGCACTACACCCTTCTTGAAGTCTGAGATGGTAGAATCACGATCAATCTGATCTTTACCTCCATGAATGGACATGCAGGGGTAACCCTTGATCATAAGCTCTTTCAATAAATCGTCGGCCTTTTCTTGACGTTCCACGAAAATGAGGGTGCGGGCATCTTCATCACGGTCATAGAGCTCTCCAAGCAGTTCGAGAACACGCAGGAACTTGGATGGTTCATCTCGAACTTCAACGATCTGATCAATCTCCTTTGCCACAACACTACGACCGCCCACTGTAACTTCGATAGGATTATTGAGTACCTTCTTGGTCAGCGAGTCGATGATGCGAGGCATCGTAGCCGAGAAGAGGATAGTCTGCCTGTCAGGTCGCATATTTGCGAAGATCTTCATGACCTGAGGCTCGAAGCCCATATCGAACATTCGATCGGCTTCATCAAGAACAACATATGTGACTCGCTTGAGATTAGTGACCCGCCCTTGGTTCGCAGCTAGAAGATCGATCATTCGACCAGGTGTACACACAATGATCTCCGCGCCACGTTTGAGTTCAGCAATCTGATCTCGGATGGGCGCTCCGCCGTAAGCACAGACAGATCGAAGACCCATCATCTTGAGAAAAGGTTTACAGTCTCGATGAATCTGGACGGCAAGTTCTCGTGTTGGAGTCATGATCAATCCGATAGGACCATCTGTATCTTTCAGTGGAGGTTGGTCCTTAATGTGCCGGAACATGGGAAGCAAGAAAGCCATTGTCTTTCCCGAACCAGTCTTCGCCACGCCGATGACATCGCGGCCTGA